AGCAACAACCTACTGCATCGGATGCATCACTGAACTCACTGATGGACCTTGCAGCTCTACAGAGAGCCAGATATCCCTCTGCTGCTCTTCATAAAATTCCACTGTCAAAAAAAGGGTCAAAAACCATGTCTGTTTTGCAAGGAAAGCCACTAAGCAACTCTGTCCATGTCTCTGGTCAAGCCATCCAGCCTTGTTGATACCAGTCACTTTTCTCGTTTTACCCAGGGAAGCCACTACTTTAATCCACCTGTTCAATTATTTATCATGCTATGCATTTCCTGTTAATTGTCACTCATGCAAAGGCACTTCATGGTAAGGGGACACCCTAATATTTTTTAATGACCTTAAGCAAAGTGATTGACATTAGATACCAGTGTCAGATGTTCTGGTGACGCAATATGTTCTCCAAGCAGCAGGAAAGCTTCCTGCCATGATAAGTTAGAGCTATGAGAGTGCTAAAATGTGTTGTCAGCTTTCGTCTGATGCAAGCGATTTTATTATAGTGTCTGGTAACCATGGAGTGTAGCAACGCAAATACTGCCTCTAAACATCCCCTCCCATATGTATAGCCTGCTCTATTTAAAACACAATGTGCACTTTAGAAGTCCAGGGATAAGTTATGGATTTTATGAGCTCGAGCCAGGCAGGGCAGGGGAAAAAAGACTTCCCCAAGTCTGGCTGTGAGTGAAGGATGGCCTGATAAATCTAGGACCCACATGCAACCTGCAGTGGGCTGTTCCTTGCTGTACCTCTTCAAAGAGGTGTATTCAATGCAGCCCTTGTGCAAAGATGTGGTGTCAGTAGGAAGAGGGTTAAACCTGCGTTTTAGGCTCCCACTTCTCAGCAGGCAGAGGATGCTTACCATATAAATAATGATTATAAAATTATTTGACCATAAAACAATTTATTAACTTTGAAAGGGAGGCTGTCAAATAACCATTGGCAGCAGGCTTTTACTTCCAGAACCTTGTTAAAAATGTATGGTCCTCAATTACAGTCCCATGCATTCAATCCTGTCAACAGTGTGGGGTGTTTTTCATTCACTGTTGCCTCCATTTTCAAGGATTTGCTTTCTCTCTTAAATCAAGACTGGAAGCCCTCAAAAATGAGTGCATAGAAATGAGACAGCCTTACCCCGGAAGATCTGCTCACTGCAGTCCGACACCTACAGCTCCTTCTCCTCTCTTGCTCACCCTGCAGAGCAAACACAGCTTTGGGACTGCATGCCTATTCCTTCTTGGGCATCCACAACCAAGCCCTCATCCATTATTTCTGTGCAAAGCTGCTGAAAGCTCTTTGTTTGCACTGACGCTCTATCTTTAGTCCTGGAGATGTTACATGAAAAGGAAAGAACCCAGCTTGACTGTCAGATCCCTGGCTGAGCTTAATGAATTTGGGAGAACTTTAAGCATACTGGACATAAAAATATCAGTGCAAGCCAATTTAGAGATGGTTTTCAGACTAGACGAACACACATAGATAGCACGTACTTTCTTAAGGCCAGACTGTGCCCAGCATGCAGTTGGAATATACTTGTGACAGCAGAGAGGGCTTTTCCCCTGGGGCGATGCAGTTCTGTTATGCCCCCAATGCCAGGTTGTGGCTTAGAGGCACCATTCAGCCCCTAATACAAAATGACAAGTTAATCCACAGTGCTTTCCACGTAATGTACAACGCCGCTGCATGCCGATACCTGATATCACTATGATTGCCGCGCTGACTGTGCACATTGCAGGGACCACAGCCAGTCATTTCACTGATCTGAAAATACAGCTCGCTCAAGTGAGCCCACAGCCACATCATGCACGGCTTCCCCATCCGCACCCCCAACTTTTCATGGCAGCCGATGGAAAGTGGCATTGGTTAGCACCCTGCAGAGAAACACAGGCGTATGCCCCACTTACTTCCATCTGACTTTAATGGCATGCTTCAGGTTGAAATTCAGCTGGGATCTTAATCCCAGGTTTTATTGATCAAAGATACTTAGAACACCTGACTTGGACTGATGTTCTAGATCGGACGTTCTAGCTTTGCCAACGTCAGGTGTTGAACTCCAATGAATATAAAAGGAAAGTCACAGAACTGAGAGCAGAGGTCAATCACAGTAGAGCCAGCAAACGAACTGGGACCTCACATAATCCATAGTTTCATAGTTTCATAGTTTCAGGGTCGGAAGGGACCTAATAGATCTTCTAGCCCGACCCCCCGCCAGGGCGGGAGAACAACCCAAAAACACAAACAAAACCACTCACCCTAAAAACAAAAACGGGACTCAAATGAGTCCAGCCAGGTAAGTATCCAGCCTCTTCTTAAAGATCCCCAGGGTAGGGGCCAGCACCACCTCCCTTGGAAGTTGGTTCCAGCTCCTAGCCACCCTAACTGTGAAGTAGTTTTTTCTCTTGTGGAGGCTGAATAGGTTCAAGTCCCGCAGTCTCTCACTGTAGGGTCTGCCCTGTTGTCCCCGGATCATGCGGGTGGCCCTCCTCTGGACCCTCTCCATGTTGTCCACATCCCTCCTGAAATGGGGCGCACAGAACTGGACACAATACTCCAGCTGCGGCCTGACCAGCGTCGCATAGAGGGGGAGGATCACCTCCCTGGCTCTACTCGAGATGCACCTGTGGATGCACGACAAGGTCCGGTTAGCCCTGCCAACCATGACCTCGCATTGTCGGCCCATGTTCATCTTGGAGTCAATAATGACACCAAGATCCCTTTCCGCCTCCGTGCTCTCAAGTAGGGAGTTCCCCATCGTATAAGTGTGCTGCTGGTTCCTACTACCCAAGTGCAGCACCCTGCACTTGTCCGTATTGAAACGCATCCTGTTCCTGTCTGCCCACCCCTGTAACCTATCCAGATCCTTCTGCAATCTCTCTCTCCCTGCTAGCGTGCTCACCTCCCCCCAAATTTTGGTGTCATCAGCGAATTTAAACAGGTTGCTCTCCACCCCAACATCAAGATCGCTGATGAAGACATTGAACAGCGCAGGGCCCAGGACCGAGCCCTGAGGGACTCCACTACCCACCTCCCCCCAAGTCGAATATGATCCATCCACCACCACCCTCTGAGTGCGACCCTTCAGCCAATCTGCAATCCATCTGACCGTGTAGGCATCTATGCCACAGTCGCCTAGTTTACTAATTAGGATGGGGTGAGAGACGGTGTCAAAGGCCTTGCTGAAGTCCAGAAAGACTACATCCACCGCGACACCTGCATCCATGGCCTTTGTGACCTGATCATAAAAGGCAATCAGGTTGGTCTGACATGATCTCCCCCTAATAAATCCATGCTGATTGCCCCTGAGCATCATCTCGGATGCCGGCCCATCACAAATGTGCTCCTTGATGATCTTCTCAAAGAGCTTCCCCAGGATTGAGGTAAGACTGACGGGCCTATAATTGCCCGGGTCCTCCCTTTTCCCTTTCTTGAAGATGGGGACCACATTAGCTACCTTCCAATCGTCTGGCACCTGGCCCAAGCACCACGATCGCTCGTAGAGCCGTGCCAGGGGCCCTGCAATAACCCCAGCCAGCTCCCTCAGCACCCTGGGGTGGAGAGCATCCGGACCCGCTGACTTGAACGCGTCCAGCCCCTCCAGAAGCTCTCTAACCCGGTCCTCCCCAACCTGAGGTCTGAAGGCGATCCCCTCGCGTCCGGCTTCTATCCATGAAAATATCTCTGCTCTTACATACGAACAGTTGAGATTAAGATTTTTTTTTTAACTGTAAACTCATTTTTCTTCCCTTCATCCTGGCAAAACATTCAGAACAGAAGTCAGAATCAAGAGCAGGTAAGAATAAATTGTAAGTGCCCCAAGGAAACAATAAGGACTAGATTTTATCTCCTTCACCAACAAATAACTCCATCACCATGTGGGTTGCAGCTTGCCCTGTTTACTTCCATAGAGCAACTAACTGAGTAAGCCGAGACTTACTCAGGTGGCTCAACAGGTGATCGTGCTAACGGAGTCAGAAATAGAAGGGCTTGCTACACAAGCATTTTAAGATCAATTGATCTCCAGGCATATTTGATAGGGCTGGACAAAAAAAGGAGTAAGAGAAAAAATAATCACAAAAAATGCAGATGCATTTTGTGTTCGCGGGAGGCTGGCCCAGTTCTGCATGTTGTCCATCCCAACCTTTCAACAGGGGCCTGATACAAATCCCTTCCCAGTCAAAAATTTCCATTGATTTCCAAGGAGTTTCTGGATCTGCTGAATTCAGTACAGGGTCAGGCCTTGCAGGGATTTAAAAATAAAATTTGCAGGCCCCAAATCTTAAAAACCTTCAGCTGATCCTTACATCATGTCCTCTTCAGGACAGCTTGACTGTGTGTCTCTGTGCAATTTTGAAGAGTGTGCCTTGGGAAATGAGGCCATATCTTGTCTATCGTATTTTCTAAGTTTTGTCTGTACAACTTTCAGAAATAGAAACTTCCTCTTTGCGAACATCCTCCAACTCTTCAGCAATTCAAGATACTAGAAAAAGGATACTTAAAAAAAAAATTCTGGGTCCCACTAGACATACAGTCTAAGGCACAGTACTGTGCAGATCCAATAATATCAGTATATCTACTTGTAGGCATTAACATATAACCGATGGCAAATGTTTGCACTGTGGTGTTAAACAGATCAATAATTATATTCTGCTCAAGTGATCTCACCTTCATGCTCAAATGATGTTATTCTTATGAATGACCCTATCAATCATTCATCATTCACCACCTAAATTGGCTTGCTCATCCAGTTGAACATCTGTCTGCCTTAACGGTTCTCCAGTACATCAATATTTAACAAGGATGTGAAAACAATAGGGCACCAAATCAAATACATGGTCTCAATATGCAGCACAGGTAGGCCAAGTTGTGCATTTGCAAATGCTATTGCTCAATAAAGGAATATCCTAAGAAGCTTGTAAAGCACCATATGTGAAGTAAAAAGAATTGGAGTTGAAATTGTCCAGATGACAATGAACAATACCAGAATTTCTAAAGCTCTAGCAGCACTGAATGTTTATTATTTTAATGAAATATACAACTTTTTTTATATCAAAATCCTCAAAAGTGCTAAATCCAACCACTTTAATTTACAAAAAGAAAGTCTCACTTTTTTTAAGCTATACTCATACCTTGTTATTTATGTTGGACAAATATTATGAATAGCTACCTACATCTAGTCAATAGTAAAACAAGTTAATATTACTGTCTGTTTAAAAGAGAAAAAAAAAGTACCACAGATAAAAATCACTGGAACAAACTCAAAATATGTCCCGAGATCCAAGAATCAGTTTATGAAGCAATCACAGTTTTTGTTTGCTTGTTTGTTGTTTCAGGGAACAATATAAATCAAAGGCAATCTGGCCAGATGTATGATGGTAATCTGTTCAACTGCTACAGCTCCTCTCTCAGTCCACCCCTCACAAGCATGCATTATTTTTAAGCAGGTTTTGTCCCATCAGGTCAGTTCAGATTGTTTTCTTCATTTTAACAGGGCCCCGCTTTCTCCCCTATCCTCAGAGCGCTGACTACAGCTCTGGACTGCCGTTACGATGAAATCATTTTCCATGAATTGGTTGGGGGGGGGTGGAGAAGAGAATTTTTTTCTTTCCCTGTCTTGGCAAGAAATATCATTCAGTCATATCAACCACCAATTCCAGAGATGCTCCTAGAGTCTCTCTCTCAATCCATCCCATCTACTTCCATTGTGAAGAATAATCCTTCAGACCAACTCATGAATAAATAGTCAGACAGACACACAAGAGATCTCTCCTCTCCAGGATTTTCCTGGTCGTCTTTAACCGAACAAGGTTCTCTGATTCGCCACAAGTGCCGTTTGACTCTCCCGTCTCTTTGCTTTCTTATTTCTTTGCCTGACTTTCCAGCACACGGCACTAGAAGCCAGGAGAAGCAGTCCTGAGGACAAAAGGACCAGTCCAAACACCGAGATGACGGATCCATGGGAATTGAAGCTGTATGCCACGATGGTGACCACCACCCCTGCTATAAGGATGACCACCCCAAAGGGGATAGTGCACCGGTAGCAAGAGAGCTCTGCCCCTCCCGTTGCTGCTGTCAGCTGGCATTCGCTGACCAAGGGGACCGTGGTTACCACGCATTCATTGTTATTGCTCTTCTCCATTGTGACGGGTTCAGGGTACTTGGGAGCTCTCAGCAGCTCTTTAATGGGCTCGTTTGTCATCTTCTATTTCTTGTCTTCCTTAGTGAGCTCTTACTCTAGGCCAAGTTCTGCTGAAAAGGCCTCCTGCTGCGGAAAGAAGATGCATGTATTCAAGTGACAAGTAGTTAATGATTAATTAACCATGTTCCAGCCAGGCTTACACGTCCACAGGATTAGGCATTGTGCAAACACAGGTCCTTACCTGGCAAGGATTCATCCTTGGCCTTAGTTTTAAACACACACATCATCCTGCTTATTGCTGTGATTTAGAATCAATTTTCATGGACTTATGTTTGATGTTAAGTTTATCTACACATTTGCACAGACCCTGACTCACAGAGCTATGAAAACACTCTGGTTTTGCTTGCATGCCACAGTAAAAAAGGTGTAGAAAGATACAGCCATATTTTAATATATTGGCATTGCTATAGTGCTCACCTGTACTAACCATATTTAGACCCAAGTCCTGCAAAGATTTAAGCATGTGTTTAACATAAGGCTTGTGGTAATCCCATGGACTAGTGACCTGCCTATGTACAGCGAAGCATCTATTTAAACTCTGGTAGGCCTAGTGTTTCTAATGAAGAGGAAAAGTTGAATGAATCTCACCCAAAATAGAGGCAGCATCAAGATTTCTTTTAAAATTAAAATACAAAATAGCAAATAGTAAAACAACAACTTGATGTTCCAATGTTTTTTGTCATCCAATTCTTTATAATTAACTGTATTTAATAAATAGGGAAGAATGGATACAAAATCCAGGGAGCTCTTTACAATCTGATCTGTGCAATATTTAGAAAGGCTTTATAAACCATGAGATTTCACATCCTTTTTTTTTTTTTCCATACTGTTTTCTTTCAGATCTTTGTCCTCCCCTACTACATAATAAATAGCTTATCACCATCCAGATGAGCAGATGTCATCAGGGAATATACCAGCTGAGCAACACCAAGTATTTATCTGTAGTTTCATAACACTGAGCATTGAAGCTTGCATAACTGCATGTGACACACATATCTCTTGGGAGGTGACATGTATGTTGGCTACAAGAATCACTTTTGATCACAGCTTCTTTGACAGCACATTGTTGTGAGCACAAGAAATGTCGGCTTCAACCCCCGATGCTCAGAGCCAACTGGACCTCACATACCGACCGGACTTGAAATCAGTTCAGAGTGGTACTGCTTCTCTCAGGTGGCCTCTCTGGTTTTAATGTAGTTATTGTCAGCATGCCTGGGAAGTGGGACAGCACTTCACTGAGGTTTTACAGGGAAGAGAAGCACAGGGAGACTAAGGAGAGCAGACAGAAGTGCAGCTCCCTGCTGTACCTGTGAACACTTTTCAGGAAGCGTTCTGGGTTACAACAACCCCCCGGGACCAAACAGAAGTTCACGGTTGGTTCCAGAGGGAAGGGGTATCTAGCTGCTGGCTGCAGCCTGCAGTTGATTTCCCCTAGTACCAGCCCCTCCTCCCTCCCAGTTCAGAATGGGAAGCCGCAAAGGGAGCTCTTCTAAAGGTCCGCCAGCCAGTGCTGAAGGGTGGGATGGGTGAATTGGGGACCCCACCTCAGAGCTCAGAGGAGACTCCAATATACCTGCCCCCACCCTCCAGCTGGCGCTGAAAAAACCCCAAACAGAACTCCCTCTGCTTCCTTTCCCCCTTCCCTTTCTGAAAACTGCTTGGATGCCAGCAAAAGTGAGTTGCATTTGTGGCAAAGAAGATAACTGAAACCCAAGGGCTCTAACTGATAGGCCTTCTTCCCCACATGAGGCAAGAACACACTCATTGGAGGCAGAATCTAGCCCGGAGGCATCAAGGCTGATACTTTCAAACCTGCATAAGGAACCTAGATATTAATTCCCATTAATTTTAAACACATCTCTGAGTAACCTCAGCTTGAAAATATCCACAGTGTAAATAAATGCAAAGGTTTGACCAAAAACTCATGCATCTTTAATGGTCTTTATACCAATTTCAATTTTCAGTCTTCTTTTAGAAGCTAAATTTGAAGCTGTTAATTTGGAGATGAAACATCTCACTTGGTATTTTAACTTTTTTTTTATTTGGATGATCACCCATTATTCCTAGTTTATAGGTCTACTTATCCTAGGCTTTCCCACTGTAGACTACTCAGAGAGCATGTCTACATATTCATCAGTGTGCCTTTGCTACTGTGTATTAAGTTTAGTATCTCTAATATGAGGTGCTAGATAAAGGCGCACTAGCTGTGCTAATGCACACTAGCAAAAGCGAACATTTTTTGTGACACTTAATGCACAGTAGACTAATTCTGCTGTGCATTAGCATGGTTTTTGCTGTGACATACTGATGCACAGTAGAACAGTCCACTGTGCATTAAGACATCTTATATAGATGCACCCACAGTAAAGTTAAATTTGCCTGGAAATATTAGCAAGTTCATACACATTGTATCTGGGTTTTTTGAAAAATTTAATGGGCCTCAGGCTTCCAAATCCCATTGCGTTACAATGGAAATTGGGCATTCAATTCCCTCAGGTCCCATTACAAGTCCTAGCCTGTGAACAGGAACTCTTTTCCTTGTTTCTGGTTTGCCCAGTGCTGAAGGACTCCAATCCTTAGTGAAATAGTGAGGATTAGTGTAGAGCGATTATGATTAACAACAGCTCATAAGGTGCCTATATCTGTAGAACTGAAGCGTCAGGAAAGACAAATTGCTGCTTGTATTTCAATCCAGTCTAACTCTTCCCAGAATCCCTCCTCTTTGACACCTCTGAATTGCCACCCAGGGAGCCCATCAGTATTCTACTGCCGATACTAACTGAACAGTCTTTCAAGTCAATCTAGAAAAAGGTGTTTGGATTGGATGTTTCTATATACTCCACAGGCAAATGCAGCATGGAGCTGGCCTCCTCTGTAATCCTGCCTTATCTGCCTACTGGGGTTTCAATACATCTGGGCTGGGATTTATTTTAAAAGGACCTATGAGATTAAGGTGAAATGCAAACTGTCATAGGCTCTTGTAAAAACTCTGTTTAATATTATTAAACTGCCCAGCAGCCTTTAGTGGGAGACCATCAACTCACTACCCAGTCAGTTTAATGAAATAATGGTTTCAGGACCTACACATGTCCTTAGGGTCTCTTCCCTGCCATTTTTTGTGGTTTTATTTATGTTCTCCTGTTTCAATTACAATGTGGCTCACTCACCCCTTCACAGTCTGTGGAGTTCCACTAAAATCCATGGGGCTATATACAGGCACCTGTTTTCATGAAGACTATTTCAGGACTGGGATCCAACTGACCATGTAAGGATGAGTTTTACTAGACAGCAGTTGGGGCTGCCAAGGATCCCATGGGAGTTAAGTGAAAGCTGATCACTTGACTTCTTTAAGCTCCTTTGCCAATCTCAGGCAAATGCCAGGAATGGAGAAATTAGTGTTCCTCTCTCTAAATAACAGAAATGTCCGCGTGTTACTACTGACCCTGCAAAATCTCTGCTCTTGCAGGTTATAGGAGAAGAGAACTTGGCTCATGCAAGATACGTATTAACAAATACTCACAGAGGAGTAATTTTTATGCTGCAGCTATTCCTTTAAGGTTTGAAAAATATGTATATTTGGGGACACATTTACCCAAGATACATTTGCAGGCGTCACTAGGGGGTTAGCCGTCTGCTACTCTCATTCTGCTTCTCCTTCCTCTACATTCACACTCTTGTTGCTAACAGTATGATGGAGAGCATCGCTAACGGTATGACGGAGAGCACTCTGTTACAGCTCTGGATATCGTGTATGACTATACGACTTCCTGTGTTCTCTTAAAGACTTTTGAGAGATGCTACTTGCACATCAGGTTACACGTGGGATTACATGGAAGAATTGTGAAGAGCTTAGGCATAAATTTCTTAAATTCCAAGGAGGAAAGGCAAGTTCAGATGGAGGTTCTGCCTTGGCCAACCTCAGTTCAAAGCCTTGAAGAGCCTTACAATAAAGCATTGGGAATAACCATTTACACAGCCATGTATTGTTGTTACGCAGCATACTTGATCCCCCACGGTGCTTAGCAACTCCTGGAAATACCAGGCTCCTTCAATTCCCACTGACAACAACAAGAGCTGGTAGACATTCGGTTTGTTCACAGGAAGGCACAGGACTCCAGTCTTAGATAATAAAAGACAACAGCATTGTAGGTACACCATTGCTGTAGATGCTGTTCATCAACCAGCTCTGGAGACACTCTAGATATTGTTGCTCTGTCCTTAGAACGTTAAACCATGATTTAACACCTGCCACTGTTGAAAGAAGCCAGGAGAACTACGGGTAGGGCTAGAAGACCAATGGTATATCTTTTTTTGACTGGAAGTGGGGCCTGATTCTCCATTGCTCTGCCCTTCTTGCAGTGATGTGCATGGACAAAAAGTTGTGAAACTTCTGAATCACAAAGGTGCCATGGTGTACCCACTTCATACCCCTGGAAGCCACTGCAAAGGTGCAGGGCAGGGGGAGTTTGCCTCATCATACCATCTTTTAGCTCTAGTCACTGTACTAGAACCTTTAATTTTACTTGAACACAACTTCTGCCTTAGATCCTCTCAGCATGTTTTTTAAAAGTGAAATGACTTCCCAATGTAATGTTGAAGTGTTTATTTTTACCAGGTGCACCATAACAGCTGGGAATTTAGCCAAAGCCCACAGAAGAGTAGGAAATCTCCCAATGACTTGAAGGCACTTTGGATCATAGTTTCATAGTTTCTAGGGTCGGAAGGGACCTGGGCAGATCATCTAGTCCGCCCCCCTGCCATGGCAGGAAAGAGTACTGGGGTCAAACGACCCCAGCAAGATGGTCATCTAACCTCCTCTTAAAAACCCCCAGGGTGGGAGCCTGCACCACCTCACTTGGAAGCTGGTTCCAGACCCTAGCCGCCCTGACCGTGAAGTAGCGCCTCCTGATGTCCAACTTAAACCTTCCCTCCGCCAGCTTGTGACCGTTATTCCTGGTCACTCCTGGCGGCGCTCGGGGGAACAGGGACTCCCCCAGTGCCTGTTGATCCCCCCTGACTAGTTTATAGCAGGCCACAAGATCCCCCCTCAGCCTTCTCTTGTGGAGGCTGAACAGGTTCAGCCTGGATCCAGCCTGGATCAGGCCTATAATGTACTTCTTCATTTTAAAAGCATTTAATATGCATTTCCTTCAATGGTCTATTCCTGCCCGTTATAAGAATCCTGGCTCTTCTGCTTCCATTCTGGTCCCGTATAAGCCTTCTTTTTAAGCAGCACATCACATGGGTGCTTCACATGGGGCTTGACAATGTCAGAAGAGATATATTCATGTTCAAAATAACAAAGCATGAACAAGCCTACAGTATATCAAAGGTCACCTCCAGATAGAACCTGACTTCATAGCCAATGGCAAAACTCCCACAGACTTCAGAGGGGCAGCATATTTGTCTACAGCGGGATATAAGTGGACAAACGGTCATTTTAAACAAATAAACTCAGCTAAGTCAAATAAACAGAGGCTATTGAAAGCACGTGTGTGTTCAGTGTATGCATCCCTGGAAAGTACAAGGCCAGATCCTCAGCCTTTGTACTTTCATGCAGCAGAGTAATACCAGAGCTGACTGATACCAGCTCGGGGTTTTAGAGCAGGAAACTCTACTCACAATACTCTAGCAAGACTAACGGGACCATCGGTTTACTCCTTGTGAATAGGAAATTCTTTGCTTTGAGAGGACTTTCCTAAGTGGCTGTTTTCTCTTAAAAGGGTGGAGTGTTTTAGTGGCAATTGTAACAGATAAAGCTGTAAGGAATGTTTTACCTCTGAATACACAGCACCTATGACTAAGAGTAAAATCAGATATACTAAAAAGTTCTGCATATGCACCTACCATGTCCATGTGAGATCCATCATAACAAGTCACTTGGCTCAGTAACTGGGTGGAGGGGAAGTATATGTTTAAAACGTCTCCTTGGTCAAAGTCAGGCAGCAGCTCGGGCAACTCCAGCCTTTGAAGTGTCGGTTGTTGCTTGGATGAAGAAATGGAGGTGACACCGCTCTAGCGTGGAGGTTCTGTAAGAAAGGAATTTGGGTAAATTTGGCTCCTTAACAACAAAGCTTCTTCATGAAAATTGGTCTCAGCTGTATAAGCATTCCT